TGGTCGCGTGGGAGCGTCGCGCGGTCGCGACGCGTCGCGCCGCGGCGACAGTGACAGCTCCGGTGGAGCACCTGAAGAGAGGGTGTGGGCTCGCGACGCGGACATTAGGTAAGGTCGAACAGGACAACCAGAGACGCGGACCCTCAAGTTCTCACGCGGTCTCTCCTCAGGGCAAAGTCCTCTCAGTAGACTCTCCTCGCTTCTACAGACGAATCACGAATCACGAATCACGAATCACCGACCGTTATTACTCTCGCGATCCTACACAATTTCTCATCTTCGCGGAAATACGTAACGCTCCTTTTCGGTGCCGTGCCGTATTAACGCAAGCGTGTAATGAAGATCCGAGTTCCGTTGGATATTTCGTTGCTCTGTCTAATAGAATCGGGAGAGATTTCCTCGGATTCTACGCGCGAGAAAAGAAACAAGAGCGCCGGATCGTTTCCGCTCCTCTTTTTCGAGTCACTTCAAACGGAACGTCAGTCAGCCGGAATTCCGGAAATTACAATTACTCCGAAAAATCACAGTTACCTACTTGCACTCGGAGTGCGTATTGTGCTCGCTCGTAAAGACTTAACCCTAGAATTCTATTCCTTCTTTCGTACCTTCTTGTTTACAATTGTACGGCTCTTAATACGTACACTGAGAAAAAATATAGTCGATTTTAATAAATATTTAGTTGTAATAATTATTAATAATGCCAACTAAATATTTAAATATAAAGACAAAAAAATTTTAATATTTAAATATAAAGATATATTTATTTGATACAAGAAACATTAATTCGATTTAACAATCATTCTTTTTAATCAGCAAATATTTATTTATGGTAAGTAAATGTTTAGTTGGTAGTATTGAACTAAATATTTATTAAAATTGACTATTTTTTTTCTCAGTGTAGGTATGTCTAAAAAAAGTGAGAAAGGTGAGAAAGCGTGGAATTTTTGTTCGATTTAAATTTAAATTTATTTGGAAATATTAAAAAAATCTAACTACTGAAAAATGTTTTTAAAGAAAATCAATTCTTTAAAATATCTAAATATTTAGTTGAATACTGCCAACTAAATATTTATTAAATATAAAGACATATTTATTTGATACAAGAAACATTAATTCGATTTAACAATCATTCTTTTTAATTAGCAAATATTTATTTATGGTAAGTAAATGTTTAGTTGGTAGTATTGAACTAAATATTTATTAAAATTGACTATTTTTTTTCTCAGTGTAGGTCTAAAAAAAAAAGTCTAACAAAAAAGTAAGAAAGATGAGAAAGCGTCGAATTTTTGTTCGATTTAAACTTAAATTTGTTTGGAAATATTTAAAAAAATCTGATTACTGAAAAATGTTTTAAAGAAGATCATTTCTTTAAAATATCTGGATAATCTTTGTTAATAGAAACATAGGTAATACAACTCTGAAATAACACCGAGAAAAAAATGTACTAAATTTTAGTAAATAATTATGTGGATAGTACCAATATAATATTTATTTACGGAAAATAAATATTTGCTAAATAAAAATATGTAATAGTTAAATCACATTAATGATTTTCGTATCAAATAAATATATGTTTATATTCAGTAAATATTATTATATCGTTATATTTAACTGACAATATTCAAACAAATATTCATTAAAATTTAGTACATTTTTCTTAGTGAATGTAATTGCGTAAAATATACTCGGGAAAAAAATCAATTAAACATAAGTCTAAAATAATAAATGCCACATATTGTGTTCTGCAGTCTGTACGGTTGATCGATTTTTAATTTTTAAGCGATTGGGGAAACTATTTAAAAGAAAATTTCTATTAAAAAATATTTAAATTGGTAACAATTGTTTACGGCAAGTCGTGCATTGTACATCTAATTGATATGAACAAACTCATTATATAGAAAAATGAAAGAAATTCCGTGATGTTTTCGGAGTGTCCATAGAAATGTAAACTTTACGACTTTATTCATAAATAAATAAATCTAGAAAATACGGAAAGAAAAGCATCAGAAGATTGCGATAAACTTTATAACGAAAAATTTTCCTTCGTCGTTTGTTGGTTTGGAAACGCCTTAGAATCGCGATTGTGTGAAAAAGTGTCAAGAAGGAATTCTATCTATCATCATAACAAATCCCACGAAGATTGATTATATCATTAATTATCGCTGAAGAGCCGATCGGCTTTCTTTGCTTTTCGCACTTTTACCTTTGTGTTAATTATATGACATTAATTATCTTAACGCTCCTAGTTTACGTTCTCTTTATATGTATAACAATTCGCATCAGTAATAATAAATTAAATATTCAATCGGTATTTAATCGCGAGAACTTCATTATACATTAATTCTTTTATTATTATTTTAATTTATACTTATCATTTAATTTAAATCTTTCGTTTTGTCAATTATAATTATTTACATTAATAACCTTCGTTTGTTGCTTCATCTTTTGGGAATTTTGGGAATTTTGAATTAAATAACGATACTTAATTATATAACATCCTAAATTACGACACAACTTTGATCACGTAATTCCACTTTATCGTTACAAATTTTATTCTCGCTGCAATATCGTAATTGTTGCAAAATAGCATGTAAACGCATTTTATTTACGGCACGAATTTTTGCGATCCGGGATTATAGATACAACGTTCGGCCGAAAATATCATTTATAAAAGCCGTCGATGCGAGCGATGCGACCCGATTATCGTTATCGATGCGAATATTCTCTTCCTCCGAGAGAGCACGATAACCGAGGGGAGCCCAGGATGTATGTACGTTTACCCGGTTATCGGGCGAGACATCATCAATGTTGCATCCACAATCGTGTGGTTTCTGACCCGATGTATCGAAAATCGAACGTATACGGCCGACAGGCCGCCTCGTCTATCGCGTCAATCGATATTCCCGCTTTTCGCCGTCGTTCCTTTTCCACGCGACGTTAATTGCACATACATATATATATATATATATAGTCATATACTTGCGAGAGATACTTCTATGAAGATGCATCAACGCATTCTCTTCTCCAGAAGCCACGCGAGTCGACCGCCAGTCGCCGTGCACGAAATGTAGACGCCCGTAAAAAGACCCGAGCTGACATTGACAAATACGTCGTGATAAGCTTCCTTCTTTTTCGGAGAATCACAAAGAATGTAATAGATGCACTTCTGAGAATTTAACCTCTTGCCTTTCATCCTCTTGGATGTATCTTGGATGTGTCTCTTTTTTTTTTCTTTTTTACCTCGATAAGGAAGTGAACGATGTCAGATAAATGATTGATAGAAATCGAAACGTTATTATGAATCGTTAAATTTGACGTGCGACGTTATATTGAATATAAGGAATATCAAAGTAATTATAGTATTATTTTTAAAGAAAAATACGTGGAGGTTACGTCGTAGATCATTATCACGAGGCGATCATCATTACGTAAGCTATTATGTAAAAGTTTAGATCATTACTACGTGCTACAAACGAAGTAATAAAATTACGAAATAATATTTCATACTTTTCCAATTAATCAAATTTTTATTTCTTTTATTTAGTTTTGCGATACCTACATTTTAATATGTTTTTATGTTTAACATTTATTATGCTTATATTAGATGTTGGAATTAATTCGTAGCGTTTTTTAATGAAAGAATGTTATTTATTTCACATGAGCATTAAAAAATACATTAATGAAAGTACTTCCCATCACTTGTAAAACGCTACGAATTAATTCCAACACCTAATACTTTACAGAGTGACAAAAAAGTTTATGCGATAAGCATTTTGTGTGTTTATCGAATCACATTGTAACAAGCTAATGTTATTTGTCGTTTTCATGATGTCACAATGGCATTAAAGATAACATTTTAATGTCAAAATAACATTAAATAGATCATTTCAACATTAAAATACAATATAAATAATCTCAGCTTGCTACCTGTGTAATAAAATATTAAAAAAAAAAAATAAATCTGGAGTGTTAGTTACATTTTATTAAAGACCCTGTACTAAAAAAATTTCATCGGTTCATCGTGAATTGAAGTCTTTATTGACCACCTGGAACAATTTATCCGGAAAGGTGCACATCGTTAATGTATTCCCAAAGCAGCTTACGATTATTTAAAATGTTAATCATTTTTTGTTAATCATTTTTGCTATTTAATAACTAACAATACAGAATGTATTTTTTATGAATATATACGTTAATAATTGATTTGATAAACACAAAACTTTGTGATTAAACTTTTTTGTCACCCTGTATATTTCTCTCTCTTTAATCTGTAAACTTTATATTTTAAACTTCTAATTTACCAGTCCTGTAATTCTACATGTATATATTTATCGCGTAGATATCTTTTTCTCCCGAAGAAGAATTTTCTTCCTTTTCTTCTTGTCGTGTCTTATATTTCTTTAATTAAAAGAGAGAGGATGCGATGGTGCATATTTGCAGTGGTGACGAATGCATTTTGTATGCAAGGACCAAATATGAATCGCGCTTTTCTTTTCGTCGCCTCATTATCACAAGTGGCATCCTAGCGTCCTTGATGTTATCGATGATCGATAGGCGGATTGCCGAAGAGATTAAATGAAGCATTTAATGCAATTTGCACAATACGTAAACACGACGCGCATCCAACCAACTACCTATCGATTTTATTCTATTCAATAAATGCATTTATTACACTCTATGAATGAGAGATGCAACAGTTTGTTGTGTCGTAAATTAGTCACTTTTTGTATCTACATTTCTTTGCCAAATTTAATTACGTAACTGCATCTTGGAATATGTAAAAAAAATATTAATATTGTATACCAAGCGTGTTGTATTTTTACATCTTATTTACTATATTAAATAGACAAGTTAACAACAGCATCAATCATATCTACAGTAAAATTAATTATTTGTTTAATTTACAATAATTCTAAAATTATTATACATCTATGAAATATGTAACTTTAAAACCGAATATAATTTATTCATATTATTCGAACAAACGGTCTCGTGAAATTTTACTATTACATTTATTCATTAACGTGATGTTATACGGGATACAATTTACTCTTGTCGCGCAATTTTTTTCATCATTAAAAATTCTAGCTGGAAGCATACAAAAGAGA